CCTGCTGCAGAGTTCGTGAACGGAAGCAAAATTTTGCGAACGGTGCTGTTCGTGACCCGAATTGGACGTGAACAGAAGCGTTCATGACCCAAGGTACCACTGTATATGTTTGTGTGAGAATCAGACTTCACTCCTCTCAGTCTGCACTGGAAACAGTTAATGAACAAATTTCCCAGAGTTCTAATTAGCAATATTTATTGGAAGAAAAGTTAATGTGACAAAACAAGAATTCCAATGAGCACTGTACTTTGCTTTCAGATTAGACACTAACCTAGATTAGAGAAGTTTGAAAAACACTGACACATATACATGTACACAAACACATATACATGTAGTTTTTAAATTCTCATGATTAGGAAAAATTGCCCAGGTCAGAGTACAATCTTGAGAGAATCCTTATGCTTATCCTTACCTGTAAACTGAGAAAGAGGTAAATGAAGCAGAAATTGCCTACTTCATTTTGAGGCAAATCAAGTAACATGCATTAGCATCTGAAGCACGGATCCCCAAACTCTTTAGCTCATCAACGTCTTCATGATGTTTCAGATGGTTCATTGACCCCCAAACATTTATTCTATGAAAATAATTTAATAACTACTACTATTACTACTACTATTAACAACAACAACATTGACCCCTTGGATAATCCCATCAACCCTTTGGGGTCAACACTGACCAATTTGGGAAACCCTGATCTAAAGTGAGGGGGCTCATTTGTTTGAAAATGGACAATAGGGCTGTCAAGTGTTTTGGATCTGATCTCCAAAAGATGCTTTATAGCATGTGGAGGCACCAATTTAGCACTGATCAGCTGAAGCAGCTACTGTAGTTTATTTTTGGATATTTCCATTTCTCCTTTGAATGGATGGGTGCCTGATTACATCATTTCAGCCTTAGAGGAAATAAGTAGAACATTTGGAAGGAAGCATGTGACAATGCAAGAATTGTGTATTTTCAATAAGAGGAATATTTTTCATTACCATTCCTGCTCCTTTGTCCCCATTATATTAATTCCAAAATCTGTCTTTGGTATTAAAAGAAAGAATGATACATTTGTTTTTGGTTTAGAGTTAACTTGCCCAGAGAACAGTCATTATGTACTTTGTGGAACTCCCTGCCTTGCCTCATGTACCCAGCCTGATGGACCTCCAAGCTGCCTCTGGACCTCATGTGTAGAAGGATGCCAGTGTGAAGCAGGGTTTGTGCTGAGTGGCACTGACTGTGTGCCACAGGAGCAGTGTGGCTGCAGCTACAAAGGACGATATTACTTGAAAGGGGAAAAGTTCTTCCTGGAAGGAGAACATTGTAAAAAAATGTATCACTGTGATGGCTCCATCTCTGCCATTGAAACTGGGGGGTCCTTCTGTGGCCCTGAACAATTCTGTGGCACTCAGAAGGGAGTGTATGGCTGCCACACATTGTCAGATGGCATCTGTCGAGTTTCTGGATTTCTCCACTACACCACCTTTGATGGACAGCATTATAGCTTCCAAGGCGCCTCTATGTACGTCTTAGTGGAACTGTGCCCGATGTCCAAGTTTTTACCCTCTTTCAGAGTTGAAGTGAGGAATGAGAAGACACCTATCAGCCTTTTCCCTGAGGCATCAATGGTATTGGTACTAGTGAACAATACCCAGATATATCTGCAGAGAGGGCACCATGGGAGGGTCTTGGTAAGGACAATTTTAGATATTTGCAGTCTGAATGGATTATGTGATTTCAAGCGTGTTCTGCATTTGTTGTGATATTCCAACTGAACATACATTTAAAAAAGAAGAGTGTTAAAGCTGTCATTCTGAGATAACCACCCAGGGACCATAGGATACATCACCCTGCAAGTTTGGAGTTTGAGTTTTAACTTCAAAGGAGAAATATCTGCTTAACTTCCATCATTAGAGGTCTGTTATCTCCAATATGGGAAACTCTGATATTGAGGAGGCCAGCAAAAAACGGCTAACATGAGTGAGGTTGAGGGCCACCAGGAGAGGCTGTGGATCCTAAGCTTTCAGAGCCTCCAATATGCTCCCAAATTTGGAACATATTTAGACTAGGTCTTTAAAATATAAACAAGCTGAAAGAAGGGGTGGAGAGATGCCAAAAGCTTCTCTCACTTTATCTCTAACTCTTTCAGAGTAGAATGCTCCATATTCAATGTTAGGATCACCATCTCTCTCTCTCTCTCTCTCTCTCTCTCATCTCATCTCATACACACACACACAAAGATGTGACAAGGTTAGCCTGGACATCTCATGATACCTTCATGCATTATTTCAATATATGGAGTAGGGAAACTTCTAAATACCTTCTTTCTAAACTCCATTAGTGTCTCGTAGACTCAGTCTCCTAGCAACATCTAGTCACTATTTTTCTTTCCCATAATGTCCCAAATTAGCACTGCACCAGGAAATTATGGGGAATTAAAATGGTGACTATGTACAATCAACTGGCATCATCCAGTTCTGAGTCAGAAGAGAAAATGTTAAGTACCCAGAGTAGGCATCACCAGATGTTTGCGTGAATCTACCAGTCGCAAAGGCTAGGCTGACATTTCATGCCATCTAATAGTGATTAGGGTGTGGTCACCATGAACCAAATGAAAGTGCATAATTGGTAAATGGTAATTAAGAAAAAGACGTGCTAGAATCATCATCTCGGCTTTTTCCTTCATATAGATCGATGGTATAGCCCTGCACCTCCCTGTTCATTTGAAAAGCCAAAGAATTGCCATTTATCAACATGGATTTTATGCTGTCTTAACAACTGATTTTGGTTTAACCGTGAGCTACGACCTGGCACACAGCCTCTTTGTAACCCTTTCCTCTAAATACCAAGGCCATGTATGTGGGATGTGTGGGAATTTCAAGAGAGCCAATGACAATGATTCTAGCATGCAAAATGGCTCCCTAGCAAAACACTCCTTGGATCTTGCTAGCATCTGGAGTTTACCAGCTATCACAGGTAGCATAGTGCCTCCTAAATTGGAGAAGGAACGTCTCATCCAGTCCAAATCCATGTGCTGGATCATCCAGAATGCCGATGGGCCATTTGCGTCTTGCCATTCTGTGGTCAACCCCAAACCTTATTTAACAAGTTGCATTTTGGATGTCTATGCATCAGCTGAGGATCACAGGATCTTGTGCCTCTCCATTCAGACATATGCGGCAGCCTGCCAGAGAGCCAATGTCACCCTTAGGCCTTGGAGGATTGAATCTTTCTGTGGTGAGTCCAATTTGCAAAGCCCAGTATACTTTATGAAGGCTGGAACACTTCTAGGACAATACTTAATATTCTGTTCATTCATAACTGTGCTTATGCAACACATTTATCTAAGTTTAAGGTCATGGAAAGGCCAAGCAGATGTGTTCCCACAACATGCTAAGCTTGCTTATTGCAAATGTTGGCTAGTTCTGTTCGTGTGCTATGTGAAACCAGCCTGTTTGGTTAGTTGATGGTTCAAGATATTGTGGGAAGCCAAAAATGGATTAATTCAGCAACCAGGTTAAATGCACTGTGTGATGCTTAATCAGATCACTGAAAGATCTTCAAGGTGCATTGCACAACACGCTAAGCTTGGTTAGCTAGACTTAGCACGTTGTGCACATGTAGCCCATTTGACTAGAAAATGGGTTAATTCAATAACTTATTTAAGCACCTTGTTGCGAAGACATGGTGTTTCTTAATATAAATATCCTTGAATTGACCCTGATTTGTTTAATGTCATGCCAGATTGGTCTTCCTGCTTACTTTGGGAAGGGAGATGTATAGAAAAATGTTCTGCTTGTACAGAAAAGTTCTCACTGTATCCTGCTAGCTCTGCTTTGGGGCGCAACAAAAAAGGAAGAGGAGTCAAAACGAAGCGTGCATAAGAGCTGGCAAACTGTAGTTATATGTCGATCAGATTAACATCACACTACCCCTGAACTCACAGAGGAAGTGCCAGCAGGACTGTACCCTAATCAGGGGCAGAACACAGCTTGTTGAAAAGATGCCCAGGGTTGTGAAAGTGTCAAGCTTCATAGGACCAAGACAAAATTAAATTAAATATACTTAAAATACAATAGATATAGTCGATATGATTCCTCTTCCTGTTGTGTTAAAACCAATACAGTTAATCAGCCATTAATTTCATAGGAGCTTTGGGAGTCAAATCCATAGCTTTGATGTGGGATGCTGGGATTTTTGAAGGCTCAGGGTTGAACCCTTGTTTTATGATATCCCGGGGAAGAGGATGATCGGCTGATCAGATGAATGGAATATTCTAGAAAAACTTCCTCCCTAGCAGACTTGGATATACTATAACATTTTGCTGCAGCCTTGGTCATTTTTATATATTTAAGATGAGTTATTTGGAACATTTTATAGAAAAGAACATTAATAGCTTTATGAGATTTATGGGTAGTGGCGGGAATGTGCTTTTTTTGGTATGTGATGGCAAAGCTAAATAAAGTCCACATTACTGTTGTTAAAAAAAAAAAACCCACAAAATGCATTGAATAGCATCGCCCCTGGTTCTGAAAGACTTTATTCTCATGGATAGGATCAGCATCATTACTGATCCCCCCCCCCTTTTTTTTAAGATGCGGATTGCCCAGCCAACAGCCATTATGAACTCTGTCAGGAGCCCTGTCAGGGTTTCTGCAATGGAGCCACATTTAGACATCTCTGCAGCCCCCTGTGCTCTGAAGGATGCGTCTGTGATGCAGGATACCTGTGGGGTGGAGGCAAGTGCATTCGGCCTGAGCAATGTGGCTGTGAGCACAATGGCCATTACTACAATGTAAGTCAAGTTCATCCTTCGAACCAAAGATCAGTGTGGTGTAATGGGGAAGGTGTTGGATTAGGAGACCCAGGTTCTAGTCCACTCCAGTCATTCTCTCTCAGCCCAAGAGCCAGTGTGGGGTAGTGGGGAAAGTGCTGGACCAGGAGTGGGGAGACCCAGATTCTAGTCCTCACTCAGCCCTAGAAGCTTGGTGGGTGAAGTAGGCCAGATGCTCTCTCTTTCAGCCCAGCCTGCCTCACAGGGTTGCTGTTGCAGGGATAAAATGAAGGGAGATCTTGAATACAGACATAAAAATAACTTAAGAACAGGTCTTAAGAAGGAGTACTTAAACCTCATAGGGTCTGAAATATGAGCAGTGAGATGGGTGAAGGCTCTTCCTCTCCAACAGAGTCTGTAAACCTTTTTTGGAACAGTGGAGAGCCAAGATGATGTGGTGGCTAAGGGATCGGACTAGGAGATCCAGGTTCTAGTTCATCCTCAGTTCCAGAAGCTCACTGGGCATCATTCTCTCCCTCTCTCTCAGCCTAGTCTACCTCACAGAGTCATTGTGGAGAAAGATGCTATATTTTTGTGGAGTAGGAAGTGCTATATATGCTGCCTTGAACTCTTGAATGAAACGCTGGACAGAAATCTAATAAATAAATAAATAAATCCATGGTCAATGGGCTGTATGGACCACCTAGTTCTCCATTTTTGATCCCCAGCACCCTGAGATTGAGTCCCCATAGTTTGGAACAGCAGTGCTCATCTTTATTCCTCCCCAAAGGATGAAAAACACTGAAAAATATCAGCCATGCTGCCTATCATGTTATCAAAGGCCTTCAGAAGGTCAGGGAGACAGAGTGGTACCCCCCTAATCCTCAAACAATGTCCAACCTTGATTTAAGATTGCAATGTATTTCTGAATATAATTAGTGCTTTGTTATACTTCTTTACATGGGTGGGAAAAGAAACTGGTTTTGAAAATTATTCCAAGGGAGAAGACATTTGTTTGGGTTGTTTCCCCCCCCCCCCAATTCTTCTGGTGGGTTCTCAAGTTACTCTTGATGGAATGGCTAATGATGGGCTTGCTGTAGATAGGAGGTGGTCAAGAATCACCAGGGACAATGTATCCTTCTGCCAGTCTGCAGCCTCCTTGGCTTCCCATGAGCCCATTAAATTCCGAATAAAGAGTTCACAGTCTTCCCTTAGGTCTTTTTCAACTCAGGAAACACGAGCAACCACAGAAGTTGCACAAAGATGAAAAGAGATATAGCCCAAAACAGGACCAGCAGGAGCAGGAGCAGCAGCATTCTAAGGTCAAACATATCAAAAAGAATACTAGAAAGAAATCTAGTAAAGTAGATAAGCAAAACCTCTTTTGCAGAGGATGGAAACTTATGTGAATAAGGTGGGCAGGTTGGGGCATAGTGGTCAAGTGTTATCTTTTTGCTAGATTGCCATTAAATGCTAATTTACCTGATTCTCAGGTTGGAGACCTTCTCTGGCTTTCTCATTGCACGAAAAGATGCAGCTGTGACAATTCATCTACCTTTCACTGCATCCCAGCCAGTTGTAATCCTGGCCAGAAATGTGCAATTCAGGATGGAAAGCTGGGCTGTAAGAATCAGCTGACCACTTGCACTGTTTCTGGAGACCCTCACTACTTCACTTTTGATGGGGCCATAGCACATTTCCAGGGCACTTGTGCTTATGAGATCTCAAAGACACCCAACTCTTCCTTGGATTTCTCCTTCCGGGTTGTGGCTACTAACAAGAATTTCCGGAATCTCCGAGTATCTTTTATTTACCGAGTGGACATTTGGCTTAGCTTCAAACAGTTCAGTTCTCATGTTGTTTTGGAACAAGGAAAAGATGTGAAGGTGAGGACAACTTCTTGATACATGCCAGAAAAAGGAGGAGGAATGTACTGTACATTATAAATCAACATAATTAGAAGCCATTTGGGAGATATGGGAAGATGATGATGATGATGATGATGATGATGATGATGATGATGAAATATTTAAGGAACAATATTTAGCTTGTAAAAAAGTGAGATAGGATTTGGCAGGTTATACATAGATGAGAGCAAAGACATATTCTTTCCTGAATGTAAGTCTTAAATAATAGAATACTAGATTTTAACTGAATCTTACCAGCATTTTTTTTAGTGACAAAAGAAGTTGGACAATGAAATTATCTAATGGGTTGTTGACCTCTACTTTGTTGAAAGTCTTCAAGAGGAAGCTGAAGTCCCATTTGTTGGGATGTTGTACTTTTATATATTTAATTGAGCAGGGGACAGCACGTATATGGGTCCCTCCAATTCTTGGCTGGTATGATTCTGCTTCAGTCAGGAATTTCAATGCTTAAGAGAAAAGACCAAATAAATTAGTTAACCAACCAGTGAAATTGTCCACTCTGATGATAGCAGCTCACCATGATGTTAGAGTAGGTAGTTTTGCCCAGGAACAACAAGAAGTTCTTAACTAGGGATTGAATCTGAGCTTTTCAAAGCATGTTCTCATATTACTGAGCTATGGAAAATAGGAGATTCAGTTCCATATATCCAATTTTTCATCTAGTCTGGCCTTAAATTATTACTCCTGATTCATTTATTCTTGTCATCTTTTCTTTGGGAAGCTCAAAGCAAATTCTAGGGGTTTCTTTCTCAGGCCACTAAAAGAACTCCCACTGTAAATGTGTCCCATTACTTCAGACACTTCCCTGAGTCTGTTCTCACTCAGTGTCTTCAGATTCATATGAATGGGTCTGCAAATGATCATAGCTACTGCATTATAGAATAGGAACCTTTGCCCCCCTGTTTTTCCCAAAGACATCCTTAACTGGGGGATTAGGACATAACAACAGAGACAATCAAAACCAATGGCTGCAATCCCTCAGAATCTTACCCATCACGTGAAACCATGTGGGCTTCATGTTGTGTGGAAGCCACCAGCCATTTTTTCTCCTCCCCATGCAAGTGATTACTTATGCCTTATATGGATTTCCATCACCTTTTTAGGTTGATGGGAGACGGATTATTTTGCCAGCAAAACTAGAGCACATGGCCAACATCACAAAAAGAAGACACATGGTGACTGTAAAAGCCCATCCCAATTTGGAGATCCAGTACAACAGCCGCCATGCTTTGTTTGTCCGTGTGGGTCCCGAATATTGGGGGAAGCTGAGTGGGATGTGTGGGAATTTCAATGGCTATCATGGTGATGACAAAGTCTTGCCTGATGGGAAAAAAGCCGAGAATGATGCTGAATTTGGCAATGCTTGGATGTCCGACATCAGCCCCCCCAAGTAAGTTGAGTTATATTCTCTTTGTTTATCCCATGTTTATTTTTTAAATATTAAAAAAAACATTAATAAGAGACAATAGAAACTTAACTCAGAAAGGAAAAGAAAAATAAAGAAAGAGACAGTAGAAAGTGCAAGGGGAAAAAAAGGAAAGAAGAAAGAGGAAAAAATAAGAAAAGAAAGAAAAGAAATATTTAAAGAAGTTACTTCCAATCTTCATCACAAGTACGAACAAACGTAGTAATTCTTCACCCCCTGTAAGGTTACGTGCAAGTATCTCTTCTTCTCATAACCCATCCCTTATCTATATGCAAATCCATAAATCATTAACATTTCAGTCATGGTGTCAGCAAAAGGTCCATAAGGGGTTCCCGGAATTTTATAGAAATATGTCTTATTAACCTTGGTCAAACAAACCAACTGTACTCCTTCCTTTTGCTTCTAGCAATCCTGATTTTTAATTCATTCAGATGTTGTTGTAGGATCTGATCTCTCTTCAGTTTTTCTTTTTCCCATCTCAAAGGCTTCTTCGAGGCTTTAGCAAACCTCTTTTGTAAATCCAGTAAGGAGTCATTATCTAGGTCATTATCTTGGCTTATCATTTGTATTTCCACTTTCACTGTCATCTCTGCCTTATAATCCACATTTTTTTTATTTTCCATATTGCAACATTTTCTTTATATTCTAATTTTTCTGCATCAGGTGAGGTTTGTTTCAGCTCTTTATCCTAATCTTCCAAGGTATTCTCTTTCACATCTGCCATTTCTTCTTTAACATCTTTTGGACACAGTCTATTCATAGAAGCAGACATCTTTGCTGACATTGTAGCATCTAGTCTCTGTCCCCATTCTTCAAATACCTCCTGGAGTATCCTTTATGTTTATGAATGGGAGGGCACTGTTCATAAAGTATTTCTAGGAGAGTAGAAACAAGATTTGATAAACATTCCTCTGCCTCCATACAGCTTTGTTCTTCAAAGGACCATCATTCCCAGGTTTGGCCCAGATGCAGTCTGACATTCTCCTGTCCTACTTCAGGCAGCCATTCTGCTTGGGTTTGCATTCAGTTTTCCAAGAATCTATGTAGTTTTTGACCCAGAACATTTGTTTGAAAAGTTATCTTTTTGGGGAAATAAAGTTTTTTCCTACTTCAGGCAGCCATTCTGCTTGGGTTTGCATTCAGTTTTCCAAGAATCTATGTAGTTTTTGACCCAGAACATTTGTTTGAAAAGTTATCTTTTTGGGGAAATAAAGTTTTTTTCCAACCTACCCTATTACTTATTGACATGTTTAAAAACTATGTGACTGGGAAGGGAGTGAAAACCTTCCCAGGTAGACCAGACAGGAAACATGACCAGATGAGCTAATTCTACTTTATTGTAAGGCTACGTTAACAGAATCTTGCAAGTCTGAAAGTACAAATCTCCCGCCCTCTACTGGGAAGGGAGTGAAAACCTTCCCAGGTAGACCAGACAGGAAACATGACCAGATGAGCTAATTCTACTTTATTGTAAGGCTACGTTAACAGAATCTTGCAAGTCTGAAAGTACAAATCTCCCGCCCTCTCCTTTACAACCTGATAAGTTAGGGAGGATCCTTTCTGAGTTTCTTTCTCTGCCCGTTATGCAGCTGTGAGCTATCCCCCTCTTAACTGCATCTCTTCCCCCCGTCTCCCAAGGTCATTCCCACATACCATTACAAGAAGGCAGGAGAGATCAGCCATGAGGAAAGCAAATACCATGTGAATGCCGTTTTCCTCTGACTGAAGGTTGGATGAAGAGCATTTCAATTCAGCCTTGGGAAGACGCCCAGAGTCATCCTCCTTGGCCGTCGAGCTTTTTTACTGAAGGTTGGATGAAGAGCATTTCAATTCAGCCTTGGGAAGACGCCCAGAGTCATCCTCCTTGGCCGTCGAGCTTTTTTCTCCAGCTTGGCTGTGACATACTCAGATGACAAATTAATCCAGTTTATGTTTTTGGGCATCTCATATGGTGTGAATAAAGCTATTCTGGTTTTTGGGGGGTTTTTTTACCTTTTATTTTTATTGAAAATGGTGTTTTTCAAACTTCGCAAGCTGAAGATGTGAGGACTTCAACTTGCCAAGTTTGAAAAACCACTGATTTAAAGCAAAGGTGCATTTTCAAAAAAGAGATTATTTATGAATGAACAGATAATTACTGACGTTATACAATTAACGTTCAATATAACCTTAGGAATGAGCCGTTCTGTTCTGTTAATTTGGATACAGGTTTTAATGCCCTGCATGAACTCACCCTCTCTCTTGCCCTTTCAGATGCATTAATGACACAGGTACCCTTCAACCATGCATTAAGCGCCTAGAGTTGGAGCAAAAGTGTGGGATCCTAAAAGATCGATCTGGGCCTTTCTCAGAATGTCACTGGCATGAGGATCCTGCTCCATATTACGACTCCTGCATTTTTGATCTTTGCCAGTATGGACCAGGTCATGATGTGCTGTGTGCAGCCATAGAAACCTATGAGGAGATGTGCCAGTCTCTTAAAGTGAAGGTGCCCAACTGGAGACAAGAGTTGGGTTGTGGTGAGCAAGGAACATGCTTCCTCTTGATCTCTCAAAATGTCCTAGTGTGCAAATGTGTGTGTGTTTTTTTCCAGTTCTAAAGCATGAAAACTTTCAGAGGTGCACTGCTGGGTTGTCTTGTGTTTCCTTTGGAGGTTACAAGGAATTAACTATGAATTGTATTGTTTATATCAATGTTCAGCTGGCTTTCTATTAAACATAGTCTCAGTTATGAAATGAGCAAGCTCTGCACAGCTGCTGCTAAACAAAGAGAATATTTTATCAAAAGTTCCTAATGTTTTCTAATATTTTACCTGCTGTTATTTAAAAAAAACATTTTAATGTTTTTTACTGATTTTTGTATATATTAATGTTTGGCCACTTTTGTGCAGGTTTTATCTTATTTCTTATGACTAGTGGTCAAAACAATAAATAAATTGATGAATAGTCCCAGTTATGGATATATTTATTTACAAATATCCAGAATGAGCAGAGATGGACGGACAGAGTTTCACATCCGCAACTCCTGGTTTGGTTTTCCACATCAAAGATTTACACTGTCCTATTTTAACCTTCCTGCCTTCCCCAACTTGGATGAGGTCTGTGACTTATTTTAATCCTTTGTTTTCTTTTTATCGTAGATATTACCTGCCCGCCCAATGCTTACTATGATTTCTGTGGCTCAGCCTGTCCAGTCACTTGTGCCAATTACACAGCTCTCACCAAATGCCCCGAGCCGTGCATAGCAGGATGCACCTGCCAAGAGGGGCATGTCCTGAACTCAGGAGCATGTATTCCCCTGGGCCAGTGCGGCTGTAGGCAGAATGGTCAGGACTATGCGCTGGGAGAAGAGGTGGTCCTGTCAGACACCTGCAGCAGAAAGTGTTCCTGCAAGCAACCTGGCCACCCTCTGGAGTGCCAGGAGCATACCTGTGCGCCTCAGGAGATATGCAAAACTGTGGATGGTGTCTGGGATTGCTATCCTGTGTCTTACCGCACTATGCGGGTATTTGGCTACCTTCATGTTATCACATTCAATGGGGCCGCCTTTAGCTATCAAGGAGCATGCACGTACATCCTCAGCAAATATTGTGGTCCCCCTGGCAAGCTACCTGCGTTCACCATCCACATGGTAAATGTGCACAGATACTCCACTGCAGCATCTTGGACTAAGCAGCTTGATCTGGATGTCTATGGGGAGCGCATCACTGTAAAAGGAGGGCAGGAAGGCAAAGTGCAGGTAAGAGGGGCATTTTGCAAACCCTGAAGAATGGGCCCTCTCAGTGGCAATATGTGAGGGATTTGATCGTTGTGAATTCTGACATGAAGCAGTTTGATCCAAATCCTCCTGGCTATTTATTTATTTATTTATCACATTTATGACAAAACACAATAATGAAACCAAAAAGATAAAAGTAAAAATTGCAAATGCATTAAACATCCCCCAAAATATGTGGAGTCAGATCCCCTCCCCCCAATCCATCCAATTTATGGATCAGAAGATACTTATCCTTCACATTTCTCACTATTGTAGAACTGGAGCTGAACATAAACCTGAGAAACAAGGGTCAACTTCCTGCTAAGCCATAGGTTAATCGCTTTATCACCACCTTACCTGCTTGTAAGTGGCTGAAACAAAAACATAGAAAGACATGATGTGCTTTTTCCAAAGCTCCCTGGAAGAAAGACAGGAGAAAAATGATAAAAAAAAAAAAAAAGAAAGGTAAAAACTGCAGCCAAGGATTAAATGGAGTAAAAGATGGTTGGGTGCCAGATTGAAAGGCATAAACATGCTCTGGACCATTTGTCTGCAACTTCTTATGCAAACTTTTTTCCTGGGATTGCATGGGGGCTGGGGAGGGCAGTGGTGCAATCCCAGGAAAAGATGCTGCTTTAAGGAATTGCAAACAAGTGCCTTGTTTCTGTCCCCTGCACTCTCCAAAGCATGCAGAGACCTACAATTCAAGAAAGTCTCAGTAGGTGAGAGCAGGTGGCAGACTAAGCAGGCTGTTGTAGAGGAGCATAGAGATACCTTGAAGAAAATAACACTGTAACTGTTAGTAAAATATGAGTTTAGCCCTGGAAAACAAGGAACGGTGAGAAAGAAACTCAAGATTGCCCTGCCTTGACTCTCTTTGGTATAAATCTCAGAATGAGGCAATGCTAAGCCATGTCCACACTGTTCCTATGAAAATCACATAGATATTTTTGTGTAGTCCTTCTGAGTAGAGCTTGACTCAAGGGAATCTTTGCCTTTTACCTTAAATTAATCATCCTTGGATTAAAAACTGGGGAGTGCCAATCCATTAGTTCTTAAGGATTTCTAGCTTCACCTTTTTGTCTTAGGTCAATGGCCTCTTGATGAATCTGCCTGTTATCCTGGCCTCTGGGAAACTCTATGCCTATTACAGCAGATTGTCTGTCATCATTCAAACTGAGTTTGGCCTCTCCATCTCCTACGACTGGTCTTACTATGTGTCAGTTTCTGTTCCTGAGACTTATTCTGGCTCCCTCTGTGGTCTTGGTGGAGATTTCAGTAAGAACCATCACCAGGACTTCAGGACTCCCAATGGCTCTGTGGTTCAGGATGCAGATATTTTTGGCAACAGCTGGAAAAAAGCTGATTCCCTTTTCTACTGTGCAGCAGTTGGAGTTCCAGCCACATGCAGTGAAACTCAACTAGCCCTCTTCAGATCTCAGAACTACTGTGGGATGATCAGCAGTGGGGATGGACCATTTAAAGAATGTGGCAACCTTATAGGTCTTCAGAACCACACTGAGAACTGTGTAACAGACCTTTGCACGACTCAGGGTGCTCATAAGAGCCTGTGCAAAGCCCTCCAAAGCTATGCTTGGCAATGCCAGGCTCATGGCATCAACGTTCAGCCTTGGAGGGAAATTACGGAGTGTGGTAAGTGAGTCTCCATTGAATATAATTTCAGCAGTTCTTGTTGCATTATTAGGCACTCATTGCATACCCAGGCAATCAGTTGCTCCACATTTACATTTTTAATCTGCATATTTTTCTTTTTTTGCTTTCTTTTTTAGTATGGTCTTTCAGATGTTGTTGAATGACAATTTCCATCACCTTTCATCATAGGCCATGTAAACTAACAGTGATAGGAGTTGGAATTCAGCTTTGGGAAGACCACAGGCTCTCTACATAAGTTTGAAATATATCTTATTTTCCTTTGCATGGAGAATTTTCTGGCCAATTTCTTTGGTATTGGATTAATTGGTGCGCACATGTCTTTCAGAGTTGACCTGCCCACCAAATAGTTACTATGAACTTTGTGGCTCTCCCTGCCCTGCCTCTTGCAGCCAACCAGCTGGTCCTCCAAGTTGCTTCCAAAGCACGTGTGTAGAAGGATGCCAGTGTGAAGCAAGGTTCGTGCTGAGTGGTAGTGATTGTGTGCCACGGGAGCAGTGTGGCTGCAGCTACAAGGGACAATATTACTTGAACGGGGAAACATTCTTCCTGGAAGGAGAAGATTGTCAAAAAATGTATCACTGTGATGGCTCCATCTCTGTCACTGAAGCTGATGGGTCCTTCTGTGGCCCTGAACAATTCTGCGGCACTCAGAAGGGAGTATTTGGCTGCCATGCACTGTCAGATGGCATCTGTCGAATTTCTGGATTTCTCCATTATACTACCTTTGATGGGCAACAGTATAACTTCCAAGGCACCTCCACATACATCTTGGTGGAACTGTGCCCAATGTCCAAGTCTTTACCTTCTTTCAGGGTTGAGGTGAAGAATGAGAAGCTGCCCAACAGCTCTTTATCTGTAGTGTCAAAGGTTTTTGTATCAGTGAACAATACCCAGATATACCTGCACAGAGAGCATCAAGGAACAGTCAAGGTAAGAAAGTAAGATCAACATCTATCATCAGTTTCTAAGTCAATTTTGTTCTCTTTGCTAAACTGAACCAGTGGAAGTTTTGGATGGAGAGGATAAACTCAGTTTTCTTAATCCAATGCTCTTCAGATGATGTGAGACTAATGCTTGGGGATTCTAGCAATTGCAGTTCCAATGTAGTTAAACACCAGGTTTCATCACATTTGTTGTTCCTCTTCAACAATTCTTTCTTCCTTGGCTCCTTTGGAGTAAAGACACCATGGTTTAGATTCCAAAGCCCCAATTCATTTTATGTAAATTTTTTGGGTGTCATTTGCGGTTTCTGTTGGCAGCAATCAATGGTTCCTGTTCTTGTCTTTTACACAGATTGATGGAGTGACAGTAAACCTTCCAGTTCAAATTCGGGCTTTAGGAACCACCATTTATCAGCATGGATTTTATACTATTTTAAAAACAGAGTTTGGTTTAATAGTGAGTTATGACCCAGGTCACAATCTGTTTGTTATGCTTTCCCCGGAATATCGGGGCCAGACTTGTGGTCTATGTGGGAACTTCAATGAACTCATGGATGATGACTTTATGATGAGAAATGGCTCTACCACAGAGGACATACTGGACTTTGCCCTGAATTGGAGATCAGAAACTAATCCTGCGGATCCTGGTGAATCGGTTACCTTTATCTCAGGGTTTGAAAAAGGAGAACATCTCACTCAGTTTAAATCTCTGTGCTGGATCATCCAGAATCCAGATGGGCCATTTGCTTCTTGCCATCTCCAGGTTGATCCACTGTCTTTCTTGACAGATTGCATTTCTGATCTTTATGCCTCTGCTGGAGACAGTAGCATCCTATGTCATTCCATTCAGACATACGTTGCAGCTTGTCAGAGAGTCAATGTCACCATCTCACCTTGGAGGAGAGAGGATTTCTGTGGTAGGTAGACAATATTCATTTCTACTTTGAACTTCAATATGACTAATTCTGTGATCTCCATTTTAGGTCAGCAGTTCTTAGGCAAAGCATCCTGAAGTTTTAAATGCTTCAAATATGTGGTTGATAAAAGGGCTGTTGAGTTACCTACATTGTTAAATACTCGGATGGCAAGTGGGAATCACTGCATTTTGCCATGTAGCTAGGACATCAGGTTTTCTACCTATCGTAAGCTGCAATTCCATGTAGTTATATGTGTCCATGTACTGTTGTCCAGTGACACAACAAAATCCTGAGTTTTGGAAAAGTACTACACTGAGTTTATACAACATACTAGACTAGACTAAAATGGAGTTAGGGAGTCTGGTGTTCAGCATGCTGTAGGACCTCTTAGTAGTTTGGGTAAATCAGGCCATCAGATTATGCCATAATATGATTTCTTTCTTTCGACATGACATGTTATACAACCCTACAATTGTGTTTATTAATCTAGGCTTAGAGTTCACTGCCTATAAAGGCCATTATAGTACTAGTCCCTGGGTTAAGAATGCCTGGTTTACAGATGACCCATAGTTAAGAACAGAGCCTATTGTAGCAAAATTCGAGTTAATTACACAATGATTCGAGTTAAATACACAATGGTTCAGGTTAATTACAATACTACTTATACAGTATTATATAATAATACTGTTCCGGCTTACATATAAATTCAACTTAAGGACAGACCTTGGGAACAGAACTCATTCTTAAACTGGGGACTACCTGTAAATATGCTTAATATACAAATATGTTTGGGCTTAGGTGGAGGTGATTGAGGTTCAAATCAGCCAGACAGTCTTTGGGTGATTTTTAGCAAGGAAATGTTACAGGAAGAGGCTGTCAGATTGGAAGATGACCCTGAAAGGAAGCATCTGGGTTTTTTTGGTCAAAATTTCCCACTTCTTTGTAAGAAAGAGATCTGCAAAACAATATCCATTTCTGAATCCTGGGTAAACATGAGGCGTGGCAAGATTTTTACATCAGAGAAATGTCCATTTTAAGAGACGCTTTCTCAGGGAATGTACATTAATATCCTAGGCACTTAGGGGACGTTGTGTACAATGCTCCACCTGTCAGCAGAATCAAGCCTACAGTTCAAGGTGCTTTGGAAGAAGGATAAGATAAGGCTGCAGTCCATGATTAGCAGACACATTTTGCCCACATACTGTGAGCTTAAGGGACTCCATTACTTTTTGCCAAATCTTGCTTACTCATTCTGAACACTTGGGGAATTTCCCCCTTTTAATGGTATCGGGTTTCTCCTTTCTTGAACAGGCCTTGATTGCCAGGCCAACAGCCACTATGAGCTCTGTGGGGCTCCCTGCCAGGATGTCTGTTCACATGTTTGGGTCATGCCTCATTGCCTTCCCAAGTGCTCTGAAGGATGCTTCTGTGACCAAGGGTACTTGCGTAGTGGGGACAGCTGCATTCCAGAAGAGCAGTGTGGTTGCGTGTACAATGGGCTGAATTATAAGGTAAAATCCTAGATCCAGGCCTGGTAACACCATATAATATCATCAGGTGACTGCCATGGCACAAAGGGCCATCCAAAACTCTTCTGAACTTCCCTTAGTTTTGACCTAAAATGCTACTAGCCTCCATTTAAACTTCCAGCAATGGCCTTGAAAGAACTTTGGAGATACTATGACAGCTGTCCAGCCCCATTAATATTCTCTTAGGACTTAGAACCACCAACATCAAAGGAGGCCTAAGAAAATCCATGGTGCTGAAAGCAGTCTTGTCCAGACTGTTAGGAGATTGTGCCCTCATCTTCTTCCTTGATCCCCTCTCTCTTCCTCTTGCTGATGGAGGAGAGAAGAAAACTAAGTGGTATCTCTGAGAGGCGAATGTAGGACCTTTTTGTGATCCTGTTTTAAGTTTGATAATATCTGCTTTTAGCATGAAAGTGGGTTTTGAATTGTGGAGCAGACGGTAAAGGTTATAAATTAGCCAAGGCTTTTATTCAAACTATAAATTATGAGCAAGTGTGTGCAAGCAAATACGGAAGAATAACAGAGCAATACAGATCAAAGTCATCATAATAAACAGAGTTAAAAATAGTGCTTAAAATATCATGAATAATTACAGCATTACACTCACTTCCAATCCTTCTGGGAAACTTCAGACTTCTGTTTCAAGGACAAAAGACTGATCATTTTATTTGGTCAAATGATTTGGGCAGAAATAGCTTAACCAGATGCATCTTGGTGAGAGCAGAAATGTTCTTCTAAAGGCATCAAAGAAAAGGAGATTTCATCCTTGCCAAATGTAATATGCAAGGGCAGAAACCCAATGAACGTGCAGTTAATAAGATCAAAGCCATCCTTAACATTTTAACTGAAGAAGGGCAAACAGCAACCACTGTTCATAGTTAAGGGCAAAATGATCTCTAGAGGACATTTTTGGAGGGCTAATAAAATGGATAAATTAGCTCAGGTCTGCTCATATTCCATGATACAAGGAGATGTGGTTTGACAGGAACTATACATGTGCTCCGGAGTGTTGCTTGAGCTTCGTAACCCTATGAACTTCATTGTTAACATTTTTTGGGGGGGGTGCATTGCAGATTGGGGATCGGGTCTGGCTGTCTGGCTGCCATCAGCAATGCACTTGTTATGGCCCCTTTGACTTCCGCTGCATTGCTGCCAGTTGTAATCCTGGACAGAAGTGTACTGTGAAGGATGGAAAACTAGGCTGTCATTCCCCATGGGGAACCTGCACAGTGACTGGGGACCCTCATTACTTCACTTTTGATGGGTCTGTGGCACATTTCCAAGGCACCTGCGCCTACGAGATCTCAAAGACTTGCAACGCCTCCTCTCCCTTCTTCTACCGGGTTGTGGCAGAGAATCGACATCGGGGAAACCCTTGGGTGTCTTTTGTAACTCGAGTGGAAATCTGGTTGAAGAGCAGCAGACTAACCTTTCATATTGTCCTAAGGAGCGGTCAGATTGTGGAGGTATGTGGAATATTTCCATACATTATTCTTGCTACATCACAGTTGATTCTGAGCCTTTTTGTTCTGTCAAATACCCATTCCAGGGATATTTTTGAACACTGAAGACATGGTATTCTGCAAGTTAATAACACTTACCTTTTCATGGAGGAAGATCTCCTCAGATAGTAAGTGAGTAACTTCTCCAGTAGTCAGAATTTACTCAAATTAAAGTTAGAGTCCTAGTCCTAGTCCACCATATCTTCTTCTGGTTCTGCTTATACTTGCTAGAATAGGCTGAAGGCCCATCTAGTCCAGGATGCTCTTTTCAGGTGTCTACCAGATGTCTGTTAGAAGTCTGTAAGTAGTCATGAGTCCAATACTGCTGTTCTGCTTATGTTCCCCAGTAAGTGGTGTTTAGAGATAGATTGCCTTTGAATTTGGGAATGATCTGAGACCACTAATGGCCTTTTCCTTCATGAACTCATCTAATCCCCTTTAAAACCAGAGTTGATAACCATCACTACTTCATAATAGCAAAATCCAGCCATCGCTGCGTGTGTGAATGAATACTTTTATCTCCTAAAATTTCCACCATTCATCTTTCGTGGATGACCTCCAAGTTCTAACATTATAGGAAAGGGAGAAAAATCTCTGCTGACCACATCCTTGGTTTGATATGACTTTTCCGGCTTGCTTCCCTAATCCTACTCTCCTGTTTCAGGTCAATCAGGAAATGGTGGAACTGCCGCATGCCCTGGAGCTCATGGGCTCCATTGCCAAGATCAAAAATATGGTGATAATAAAGTTAGCAGCAGATGTAGAAATCCATTATAATGGCCAACACACTCTGTTCATCAAAGTGGGACCAGAATACCAGGGGAAGCTATGTGGAATGTGTGGGAATTTTAATGGTATTCCAGAGGATGATAAAGTGCTACCTGATGGAAGCAGAGCCCGGAATGATTTGCATTTCGGCAATGCTTGGAAAACAGAGACCAGCCCAGTAGGGTAAGAAAAGATTCAGAGATCACATGTTAAGCCTCGCTGCTGTGTTGTGAATCCAATGAAATGAAAGTCACGTTGCATTCCAATATAGATGGAAATATTGCACATCGGTGCTTGTTGGTATTACAGATGTATTACTAGATTGTGGGGTTGACTTTTTTGTGGTTTTATAGAGCTAGGAATACATTTTAGGCTGCTGCTATTAATACACCACCAAGGAAGGCATATGAAATTTTGTGAACCATTTTTTAAAGTTACAGGATCCAAATCTATTTGTTGGACAGCACTCTGCTAAATGTATTTGGGTATCTATTGATGTTAGGGAAAAGATGGTCCAAAATATAAAAGTTGGTTCTCAGATTAATAAGGATTCCAGCAAGCTTTGTATAAATAACCCATAGCTGCAGACTCCCCCCTTGTCAGAAAAGAGACTTGCCTTCTCTTTGGTGTATTGCAAAGCTGTGAGCAAAAGATTCAAAGCCCCGCTCTAATGGGCTATATTGCTTCAAAATTGGAAATAATTCACTTGCAAGAATTCTTGCATTACTACTATGCTCACCTTAATAAATCTTGCTCAACAGAACTTGGTGAGATTCATGCTTGGAAAAAACATGCTTTCAGTTCAGGGAGTTAGCAAAGGCCTAGTAGCATAAACTTTATGAAGCTTTTTGAGAGGCTTAATATGGTCAGGCTCATTGTCTGTACATATTGTATGATGTATTTTGTTTTATTTCTGGTGTCAACTATATTCTTGATCAACCATGAATTAATTGGGGGCCTTTGTAAAGACTTTAGCTAAACCCATTGACATATGTGCTGCTTTTTTGTACATCATAACCTCTAATTTGAGCTTGGTGTTACTTTGAGGCAGTCCCCAAGCTATCTGATGTAGAGTTTCTTTGGAAATACAGTAATACCTCGGTTCACGAACGCTTCTGTTCACGAACAATTCGGTTCACGAACAGCAGCGTTCGCAAAATTTTGCTTCCGTTCGCGAACTCCGCATCGGGTGACGAACACGACCCCCGGCCATCTTCCCTGCTCTGACATGTGGTTGTGGCTTCCTCTAAGTGAGATCGCCTGTACTTTGTTTCATATTTTTGTGGTTAAAAAAAAAAACACATATGGTTCAGAACGGATTAACCTTATTTACATTGAACCTTATGGGAAAATTTGATTCGGTTCGCGACCAATTCGGTTTGCGACCAGGATCGTGGAACGAATTAAGTTCGTGAACTGAGGTACCACTGTAAGTCTTGCTGAGTTTGATCCAGCTAATTCCTAAGTAAGATTTATCACCTTCCTAAATCTATATTTCTAACCTGCAGAACTGTTAAGATTTCTTAAGAATCAGCAACATGTTTGATGAATACTTCCTGTATTGACTAAGATATGAAAGTTCCTCTCCTATGAGCTGTGGTGCCTTTAATAAAACCAAGACCTCTCACTTCGTTGTTGTTGTTTTATTAAGGTGTTTGGATGACAGTTCAACCCTGGAGCCCTGTGAAAATCTGCAGGAATATGAAGAGTTCTGCGGGATTTTGGTCAGCCAGATGGGACCCTTTGCTGAGTGCCACTGGCACGTGGATCCTTCCCCATTTTATTTGGCCTGTCTGTATGATTTGTGCCACTACGGGAGAAATAATAACATGCTGTGCATCAGCCTTGCAGCTTATGAGGAAATGTGCCTCCTTCAGGGGATTCAGACCCCAGGCTGGAGAACTTCCGTTCAATGCCGTGAGTGTCAATCTCTCAGTCATCCATCAAATTTTGGAGGATCTCTTTTCTTATATATATAATGTTATGAAAAGTTTTAAAAACAGAGTAAGAACGAATGCCAACTAATACAGAGTAAGGAAGAAAAAAGAAAAAGAAATCAGAGAGAAAGCTAAAAGTGCAAGAAAGAAAGAAAAAGTCTTGCCTCTTCTTTCTGAGTTCACTGTTATGGTGTATGAAATCATCTCTGATAAAAGCTTTGCTTGCATCCCAAACCATTCTTAAATCAGTACCTTTATCTAAATGATTGTCAAAGACTTCTTTTACTGTAATTTCTTTTTACAATCCTCCATTATTGCTTCTTTCAGTGGTAACATTTCATTTAGTCTCCATCTAAAAGAATTAGATTCTCTTTTATAAACCAAACTCTCAGGATTATGATCCAAAAAAGTCTTTGGTAATCTCTCTACTTCATGAACCTTGGTAACCAAATTCTTTGAAATCCAAATCACATCTATCCAAAAGTGAAATGGACAGATTCAGGAAAAAAAGGGATTGAAAAAAATGGACTCTGAGAGATCCATCCAACCCTAGTCAGAAGAAATCAAACTTGAATTTGCTTGAAATATGTACAGAGGACTAATGCCTCTTTTTCTAATTAGTAGAGAGGAAAACCAAGGATTATGGTTTCTTGGACAAATTAAAGATAATTGCAATGTTCAGATCGCTGAAGAGGAGAGACGCTTAGGATTTCCTGGTCTTAAAGCTTCCTTGCTTCTCATCATCATAAGATCAGAATTTCAGTGGTCAGAAGCAAGAAGAAACAAGATCACTTTAGGACAGGAAATGATTCAGTGTCCATTCCAGGTCAATTTGAGAAGCTGTGTTTCTTGGCTGCTGCTTTGGGCAGACAATTCTGACTCATAATGAAAATTCTGGAGATCTACAACAAATAACCTTGAGACGCTCTGAATCATGTCTTGCCCATTGTTGCTTGATCAAAGAAAGGGAAAATCACTTAAAAATCACGAGGACCAAACCTGTTGTTAGTGAACTTCTTGTTCTTTCTGCAGCTGCCACTGACCCCTGCCTTGACTTAGCATGTGGAGACAATGAATGGTGTGGGGAAAAGAGAGGAAATTGGGGTTGCTTCTGCTACAAAGATTATAGCCCCACCAAAAAGGCTGACTATGGTAAGCAAAAGCATGAGCTGTTTTAATTTTTTCTCCTTGTACTAATTTGCCTTACAATACAGATCTGTTTCACGTCGTGATGTTGCTGCATCAGACGAGTCTGCAGGGGGAGGTGTCAAAAAAATAAAGATGGCAACCGTGGCCATGGGATCGAAGTCCCGCCCCTTCTTCACAAAGCTTTCAACAGGGCTTTGATCCCGTGGTTGTAGCTGCCATGGTGTCGTTTTCTGAAACTATAATTTTTATTAAAATTTTACGTGAGATTAAAAAACTACAGAAACATAAAAGGAAAAGTAGAAAAAAGAAAGAAGTACAAAAGAATAAAAGAAAAAGTGAAAGATAACAAAAGAGAAAGAAAGGGGAAAAGAAAGGTATCTAAAGAAGTGATCTTCTTTGCAGCAGTTACAAACATAGGAATGACCATTTCCACCCTCCCGAATTACATATCATGGTTCCCTTCTTCCCATAAACAAGCTTTTTGAATCAGTAAATCTGAAGTTCACCATTTTTATCCATTTTCAGTCCAAAGTCCATAAAGGATCTCCTGTCTTTTATAAAATTAATTGTTGTTCCCTCCTTAATCAAACAAGTCAATTTTGCTATTTCTGCATGCTCTGCCATCTTCATGATCCATTCCTCCATTATGGGGCCATGGTGATTTTTTTAACCCCTTCCTGAAGACTTCCTTTTTTGGTATCCCTGGAACAAACAACTCTTGAGGTTTTTTCCCTTGAAATTGGCATCAAGTGAGGAAAAATGCCAACTGCCAAAGTCTTTCATTTCCAGCCTCTGTACTCTTATCTCGCTCTGTCTGGGTTCAGTAGCTCCAGCTGAGCCTTTCAACAGCTCTGTTTTAATAATTCAGGGCCAAACCTCTGCTCCCCAGTTTCCTGAAAAGTCTCTTCCCCTTCCTTCTTCTGTTTTTCTACCTCATTCTCAGTGGGCCTCAGAATTTCTTTCAGGGTGTGGTGTTGAGCATTTTTTAATTGTTGCATTGTGGCCAAGTGTTGCATAGCAATTGTGTTTCTGTAATACGTATCTCCATCCCTCAGCAGTCTCCCTGCTTCTTCTTGCTTCCTGAAGAATTCCCTTGATGACTTCACTTAGGAATGCTTAGAAAAAAGAGAAGCCAGGAGGACTGCAGACCGCTAAAGAGATTGTTGAAATATTGCGCCTACCCTTTAGTTATCTCAAAATTAAAGGAATGGCAAGAGCTCTGCCTCCCACCATTGGGCATTTTCTTTTGAAAATAAAAATAAAATAAAAGGCCATTTCTTTTCCACCACATGGAAAAAAAGAGGGTTTAAAAATGCAGAATTGTCAACAGAGTGTTAGATTTCTTTGACTGAATTTTCAAAGAGGCCAGATATCATTTACCTGTGGTCTTGCTTCCTGCAGATTACCACCTCACCTGTACTAGCAGCAAAAGTATGGTCTCTCTCTCCCGTTGTCTCCTTTTTACCGATGGATTCCCTGCGGAGAGACTCCACCTGGCTGATCTGACTTGTACCAGCTCATTAGTAGGAGACAGGCTCATCTTCTACTTCGACACGGTGCAGAAAACCTGTGGGACACAAGTAGAGGTAGGGAGAAGCAAGAAGTCACTGAGATAATGGGGTTGTAGCAATATAATCATTTCTTTAGTTGGGAGACCCTGCTGTGAAAGGATCAGGTGAAGGGCAGTTAAGATGACTTCCGGACAAGCCTTCTGCAAGACTAATGACCGATGGATAAGATAAAGCAGTTGGTTATGTAAGGATTAAGTTCAGGGGTGTCTGCAGGGAGGGGGAAATCAAAAAAGTCAAGGTGGTGGCCACAACCATACAATCAGAACCCTGCCCTTTTTTATGTGGCTGCCATCTTGACTTTTGGACTCCCTTCCCTGCAGACTCCCCTGATTCAGTTCAGAAAGTCAGTAGTGATTCAACTGAAATCAGAACAAACAAATATATCTGTCAAACAGAATATATGGGACAGCTATTAAACATGGGCAAAATTAGCTTTTTTCTGAATGAAACAACAATTCAGACTGAATCTATTTGATTTTTTGACCTTGAACAGATATATTTCAATGTTCTGAATAGAAATCCATTTTGAAGCTTTGGAGTAGAACTGGTGATTCAGATTTGATCCAGGGAGAGTTCCACATATCTGGTAGACATCTGAACTACATAGGTAGAATAGCCTGGCATGTTCTGAGTCAACTTTTTAAGTCATTCCCATCACTGTCCAGGGTTTGAATCAGGCACTGCCTGTTGCAGAACATGTGTACAACCTCTGAGCTGTGAACATTCCCCAAATATTCCCTTTGTAAGGTTCTAGCCTCATGGTTAGAATCAGCAATCCATTATACAGGAAGGTCAATGTTGAGCTTCACCATGGAAGATACCAATATTATTTCCAGAATCCAGGGCAATGGGGCATTTAAAACATAAAGGGTGGGGAGAATTGGGAAAATTATGAAAAAAATGAGGTTTCTTTTCCCAGTCTTGAGTCTATTCTTGAACGGTGAGAGGAAATAATGGGGGGAAAGTTATATCTTCTCTTCTAATTCTGTTTTCTGAACATATTCCTTCATTAACACATTCCTAGATCAGTGTTGTCCAAACTTGGCCACTTTAAGATGAGTGGACTTCAACTCCCAGA